CACCAGGGAAGTCCTACTTGGTGTGTTCTTAATTCAAATATTGTCTTCTGATTACACAGACCAAGACAGAGGTAGGCCCAGCCTCTCCATGCTCCCAAAGCAACTCCTGAACATTTACATTACTTTTTTTTTTGGCAATGCCGCGTGTCTTGTGGGATTTTAGTTCCCCAACCAGGGATTGAACCCAGGCCCTCGGCAATGAAAGCGCAGAGTCCTAACCACTGGACTACCAGGGAGTTCCCTACATTACATTTCTTATGAGAACTCATTAGTGGTAGAATTCCAAGTTGTTTTTTGTCTGACCCCCATGCAGAACAATGAGCTACATAAGGGCAGAGACTAAGTATTATTCATGTGGGTAATCCCAGCAAACTGCCATAGTGCTTGGATATGAGGTAATTAAAAATGATTTCTTGAATAAATTAATAGAATGTTATTCCTAGACTAGAAATTTGCAATCTAATAAGGTCCTACATACCACACCCACATAGGGGAATCACCTACTTGGCTGGCCATCTACTCTGTCAATAGGTTCTACAGAAACTAAAGCAAAACAAGAATGAAGTAAACACGGAAGAATTAGATAAGTGATACCACTACAGTTAGATAATTTTGATGACTACAATTAAAGCAAAGAAATAATGGATCTTTAAAGCTTAAAAAAGCCAAATGACTAGCAAAATATACTTCAAAAAAGTGTGAACTAATTAATCTAAGGAAAAGAAATATGAAAAACTGATAATCAACGACCGAGAAAATGCCAAAGGACAAGAATTCTAAAATATGTAAGCTCATAATTAACAGATGCACTTGATTGGAGAAGGGTCAGCACTATCTTTAGCCAAAAACACTCATGCGACAACTGAGTGCCTACCCTGAGTGACACTCTACTTGAAAGTCTCGTTTCCTGCGCTGGAAGAAGTTGGTATCTAGGGGAAGACAGAGATACTGCGATTCAAAACTCAATGGAGTAGGTCAATGACAGACATATGTACAAAATAGTAAAGGAGTACAAAAGTCTTTGGAGGTGGGTGAGTAGGAGGAAGCAAAGTTCCAGAAAGGCTTCCAGGAAGAGCTGATGCCTGATCTGGGCAGTTCACCAGGAATAGTAGGAAGAGATTCCTGAAACTATAAACACAGGCACTGAAGCAAGAAACAGCATGGATTTATGGAGCCACCCTTGGATACAAAGGCCACAGGCTTTCCTTGAGACTTGTAGCATCATACTGGGGTTCAGATAGTTCATTACAGAAAGAATTACATATCTTCAATCATACGCCCCTCTAGGTTGTAAAAGGGAACCATGCCCTGGCTTAGAAGTCTTACTTTTAAGGATATCTGAGGGATGTAGTGTGGCAATGTAGAAAGTCCTGGAGTCAGCCTAAATTTTAAATCCTGACCCTCAATCATTGAGTGACCATAGATAAGTTACTCTTTAAGCCTTAACTAGTTTATCTATCTGTTAATGGGAATGAACCGCATATATTTAGAGTTATTACAAAGATATCAAGATGTATGTAAGTTAATTGTGCCTGGCATTTACCAGGCACTAATGCATGGAAGTTCCATTACCCATTTTCATGGTTAGTTCCAAACCGAGTTTTCCTTCCTTTTCCCCAGATTGGACCTCATTGGCTGGGTTCCGCAGTTCACTGACCAGTCTATGAACATTTTTTGAGCATGTCTCCTTGAGTGCTGTGCTAGGCACTGGTGCCTTGTCCCTCTCTCTCCATAAACCTTCTATCCATCTCCTAATCTCTTCTTCACTCTGTCTTTACATAGCAATTTTCTTTCTTTTCTTCTCTCACCTAGCCCATGGGTGAGTTGTTTTCTTGTCTCTTATGTCCCAGTGAACATAGTTTTCAGGGGCTACCAGTATGTCCCATAAACACCAGCACTAACCCGAGGCCCTTTCATTTCTATAGTGGTAAAAACCCTGTGGGGGTCACATTAATTACATTCACTGCATATATAAATACGCTGCAAGTGAATCTTCATATATATTTGGTATTCTGGTGACAGTCAACACTGCCAGGCAAGTAATTTACCTGCCCAGAGGGAGGGCTCTCCAGAGATGTGTGGCATTTGGACCCATGAAGTCACAATTCTTTAGCTTTTCCAGAGAGCCAAGATGAGATGCTAGCTCAGCCAGTGACTTTCTGCTACTGAGCCAGTTCGTATTTTACTGATGAACTGATAAATGTTTGGGGGCCTTAATCTGAATACTGGATAAAACATTAACTTATTGGGTTTGGCTTCACTTTTGAGGAGGTACACAAAAGCCTCCCAGAAAAGAAATGTTCACAATTAAAACAAATGGAAAGAGGAAACACTGCCCCAAAGTAAAACCTAGAAGGTTCTCTTGGTTCAAATAGCATTTATGTGATGGATGTTTTAGTGATAGATGTTTACTAGACTTACTGTGGTGATCATTTTGCAATATATATGTACATCAAATCACTATGTTGTACATCTGAAACTAATAAAATGTTGTATGTTAATTACATCTGAATAGAAAACCCCGGCATTTATTAAGCACATTTATACGTCATGTACTCTGCCAGATGCATATATATATATGTATATCTACATCCTCATATATATATATATGCCAGATGAAAATCTGAACCCAGATCTGGCTCAAAATCCAGTGTGCTTTCTACTGAACCACAGTTGCATCTATTCAAACAGTCATATCCCTCATCAATAATAATAATATTATAATAATAGTCATCACTAACATTTATCTAGCTTTTCTCATGTGGCAAGCCTTGTGCTAAGAAATTTGTGTATATGATCTCATTTAATCCTCACAATCACCCTATGAGGTAGGTTTATCAAGATCTCCACTTCACAGTTGAGAAAACTGAGTTTTATAGCAGTTCAGCAATTGCTTTGTTCCCACAGCCGGTAAAGAGCAGGATCAGAGTTGAACCTAGGTCTGTCTAATTCCAGAACCTATTCTGGTAATCATTACACTAGACTGCAGGAAACTCAACTTTAGTCCTGACTCCAACCAGGCAAGTCATGTGATAGTTCTGTCTCAATTTCCTTGTTAATTAAACGGGGATACCGTTACTCGTCCTTACCTATTTCACAGAGATATTGGGGTTATAAAATGAGAACGTGTACAAGCTTTAAGAAGGGAAATTGCTATATAAATCTAGGCTTGTCACAAGTTTCACTCAGATCTTCCCTCTCCCACGATCATAAAGGGAATTAGCTGACATCATTAGCTCTCAAACATCCTCTGAAGTGGGTAGTGAGTATTATTATCTCCACTTATCAAAAAGTTGAAGCACAAGGAGATGACGTAACTTGCTAGTCAGTGACAGAGCTGGGAATAAAACCCAAGATTCTAACTCCCACTGCTTTTGTTCTTATGGTAAATCCTATTTCTGCATTTCAAACTTAATTGTAAAATAGACAAGGGTGGAAATATTAGTGTCCACTTAAAAACAGATTAAATTTTCTACTGAGGTGACACTAACATAATCCCTAAGGCTCTTAGTCCTCACATTCTAGAGAAACCTCATAAAGAATGAAAAAGAAAAAATTTTCCATTCCCTTAGTATAGACTTCGGCTCCTTAGTTTTCTCAAGTAACTTATTAATAATCAAAGATTACAAAACCGGGTGAGTCATTACCTAGTTTCAACTATGCAGTGAGTCTGTAAGCTTCCAAAGGGAATATAAACCACACTATGAAATTGTTCCTTCATAAATTCAGAAAAGAAAGAAGCATCAAATACATTCTCACATCATACACATCTAATATAACTATATAACCTGACTTGGAAATTATTTTAACATACCAACAATACACAATACCCTGAGCTCAAAATTCAAGTTCCAAAATGAACATCAAAATTAAAATAGTAACAAAAGTACACATGGCACCTTTATGATCATTCTTCTCCCATGCTCCCACCCAAGCCTTGCCACCAACACAACACATACCTTAATATAAAATAAAAAGTAGTAATGGGGCCAGTTCTCTGTCTTCACTTCTCTAGCTTAAATAGGGGAGTGCTCAGGCTAGTTCCCAGATTATCAGCTCCTCTTAGTTCTTGTTTTCTAGAACAACACAATGATCTTTCAATTATTACTAGTTTAATAATCACATATTTTGAAATTACCACAGGGACCAGAGGAGAAATAAGAGAAAGAAATTTCCACTCTCAAAACTGAATTTAAATACTGGAGTCCACAGACACTTGATTATTACTCTCTCTGACTCTGACTGAATTAGACTTACAAATGAAAAACCTGTCATTGTGTTATAGGGACAAAAACTAAGTCAAAAACTAAGTCAAACTAAGTAGAACTAAGCTGTTGTTCTACTAATGTCAAGGGAGTTTGCTTCCTGACTGCCTTGAGATGTCTAAATTCATTGCTGGCCACATAACAAAAGTCCTACGAACCTGAACATGTGCTATGAGGTGAAAGTAAATGATGACATAGGACTCCCAGTCTTTTCAGAGGTTTCCCTAATACATTAGTCTATCTTTCCTTTGAGAACAATCTTTGTCTTGGTTTCCATAATTGAAACCAACTGTATCTTCTGTGGGGTCAAGAGCTCTAAGGTCTCTTGAACTTTGATGTGAGTACAAATCACCTAGATATCTTGTTAAAATGCGGAATATGATTCAGAAGATCTGGGACTGCATGTCCAATAAGCTCCCAGGTGATGTCGATGCTATTGCTTGAGGCACCACTCTTTGAGTAGCAGGACTCTAAGGAATGTTTCCAAATAGAAATAACCTCAATCAAGTTTATTCTCAAAATATACAGTCTCTACCAAGAGTTTATAAAAGAAGATAATATTCCAGAGCCTAAACAAGGTATCTGCTCCCTCTCCCTTTTCTGTGATTTTTACCAGCTGCTTGTAAACTCAATGTAATACTGTAAAGGGCAACTTTTAAGAATGACTTTTGTGCTGACAATTCATTGGGGCCTATATGGATGAACGTAAAACCTCAAGTTTTGTAGTGAAAAGGCTGATTCAAAATAAATATTTAAAATTATGTCAAATACTAAATAAGTGATATTTACAAATAGTTTATAAGAGAATCATTTGGAATTAATAATTTTCATTTCCCCCACAAAATAAATAGCTCACACACTAAAGAAGATACCTTTCCTTAAGCAGGAGGAAAAAAATGCCAAGAAAAATAAAGTCATGCTTATGGCATAGTCATAACATTTTTAGTGAAGAAAATACCAAGATGAAGACATACAAAAGTATATGAGGAGAAGTACATGGTAGCAAATTTGCCCTAGGACCTGGGGGAAGGTTCAAGGGAAAGGGACCACCTGGCAAATCTAAAAAAGACTCTACTTGGAAAAGATTATACATGAGAGCAAGAGTCCATTCCCCTCAAAAAAACCAATAAACCCCCATAAACTTTCATTTTTAGGTTTTCAATAATGTTTTCTTTTCATATGGCCATTGGCCCAACCTCCCCCACAAAATTCAACCAACCATCATAAAAACTAAGTTGGTAACAGGTCAAGCTGGCTATACTCCATGTGTAAACTCAGATGCATTCCAAGCCAATGAGGGTAAAATTCTCAGTGGAAGGAGCAAGTAAAAGGGGAACCACTTCTCTTCACAGAGAAGGATCCCCTGTCTTGAGCATCTCTGAGTGCCTGACGGTGGAAGGTGCCTCAGCGCTTGTGTGCGCTCTTCAGCCCCATGACCGTGAAGGTAGCAGCCGTCAGTTTCTCATAAACGAGGAACATGAGAGCAGCAGTGAGGGCTGTCTGCAGCAGTTTGGCTTCAAGGCCTTTGTAGAGTCCCATTATTCCAAAACGCCTAAAAGGAAAGAGGTGAGAAAAAACAAAAGGTTTTCAAAGAAACAATACTATTTTGCAAAGGTTTATTCTTAGGATCAAAAGAAGCTATGGAAGTTTTAGATATAACGGACTTCTGTTGTTTAAGTACTTCTTATCTTTAAACATATTTGGGGATTGATGAAAGTTTAGTATTTCTTCACAGCCACCATTAACTAGTGGAATGCTGACAGTATCCCACAGATAGGGTACAGATCCTAAAATCCTAAAACCATTTTTATGCCAAAATCTGGGATCTAACAAAGAACTTTTAGATCTTGACTTTAACACTCTCCCAACTCAGTTATTTCAACCTAACAGTCCCTAAATGGTGGCAAAGCTGCCAATTGGTTTAGATCATTGTAGCCGCAACAAAACGAGAGAAAGTGACAGAAATGAAAAGCTCTCCAATTCTGAGCCTTCCCATACATTTGATCTTTTTAAAAAAATATTTATTTATTTATTTTTGGCTGCATTGGGTCTTCATTGCTGTGCACGGGCTTTCTCTTTGCAGCAAGTGGGGGCTACTCTTCGTTGCGGTGCGCGGGCTTCTCACTGTGGTGGCTTCTCTTGTTGCAGAGTACGGGCTCTAGGCGTGCAGGCTTCAGTAGTTGTGGCATGTGGGCTCAGTAGTTGTGGCTTGTGGGCTCTAGAGCGCAGGCTCAGCAGTTGTGGTGCCTGTGCTTAGCTGCTCTGCAGCACATGGAATCTTCCCGGACCAGGGCTCAGACCCGTGTCCCCTGCATTGGCAGGCAGATTCTTAACCACTGAGCCACCAGGGAAGTCCACATTTGATCTTCTAACCAAGTGGCTCTCACATCTAGCATACATCAAAATCACTGGAAAAGCTTGGTGAACCACAGATTGCTGGGTCCCCTCCAGAGTTTCCGATTCATTAAGTCTGGGATGGGACTCAAGAATTTGCATTTCTAACAAGCTCCCAGGTGATGAGGATGATGAGGCCAGCCTGGACACCAGCCCTTTACACCCACTGCTCTAACCACAGAGAAGAAGGCTTCAGCTAGAACCAGGAGTTCAGAGTAAACGATGTCTCCAAAGCTACTTTTTGAGAGTGAATTAATCTCATATGCTAGTTCATCAGCAACTCCAGGGCTATATACAGCACGCAGACTGAGAGATTAAAGCTAATCAAGCGCTCCATTCAGAAACTATTCTACATTTTATACATTTGCTATGTGTGAAAACTTATCATTTGGAGCAAATCCTGTGATAAATAGGAATGAAAACCCTTGACCCATGAATTTCTAGTTCATTGACTAATTTGAATTGTGTTCCCCCAAGAAAGCCAAGCAAGTCCACTTCAATGTTTCTCAAGGTGAGGTCTGCTGGGAGATAACAGAAAAAATATATACTGGTCTCTGTCCTCAGTTCCTGGCATGGAGCTCCTAAAGCCCTTGTAATTTCCTAAGTGATAAGAGCACTAGGAGCGTTTCTTATTCTAATATTTAGTCTTTGATCCTAGTTCCTGATATAGAGTTCCTAAATCCCTCAATTTCCTTGGTGATAGTAGGGTCTTCTGTTCTAATGAGGTGATTCTTGGTGGGCTCCTGGATGGGGCTGGTCACCAGAAAGACCAAGCTGTGATAAGAAACTTGGAATTTTCAGCCCCGCTCACTATTCTCCAGAGAGCAGAGGGGGCCGGAAATGGACTTAATGATAGATCATGCCTACATAAAGAAGCCTCCATAAAAATCCCAAAAGTATGGGGTTCAGAGAGCTTCCAGGTTGGTGAGCACATCCATGTACCAGGAGGGTGATGTACCCCAACTCCTCGGGGACAGAAGCTCCTGTGCTTGGGACCCTCCCAGATCTCTTTATATGGCAACTCATCTGTATTCTTTAATAAACTGGTAAACGTACGTAAGTGTTTCCCTTTCCCTAACTTCTGTGATCTGCTCTAGCAAACAATCATACCCAAGGGGAAGGAGGTCATGGCAACCTCCAATTCGTAGCCAAGTCAGACAGAAGTTTTGTGTAAGCTGGAGACCGACTACCTGTGACTGTCATTTGAAGTGAGGGTCAGCATCCTAGGACTGAGCCCTTTCTTAACCTGTGGGATCTAATGTTATCCCCAGGTACGCAGCATCAGAATGGAGTTAAATCACGGGACACCTGGCTGGTATCACACAGAACTGCCTGGCGCGGGGAATCCCCCACGCAATGTCTGGTGACCGGAGGTGCCAGAAGTGAAGTGCTCTGTGTCAGTAGTAAAGGAAAGATACACAGTAGTGTCGATTGTCTTCACATCCACTCACATCAGAATCACCATGGTCTGTTTAGAAATGAAGATTGCCAGGCCCCGCTCCAGAGGGGAGGCATGAATCTGTATTTTAATAAGCACTTCAGGTGTTCTTAATCCATCAAAAGTTTGGAGAGGCCTGGCATGGTATACTGCACTGTCCGATATGGTAGCTACTAGCCACACGCGGTCATTTAAATTTAAATAAAATTTAAAATTCAGTTTCTCAATTGTACTGGCAGTATTTCAAGTGCTTAACAGACACACGTGGTTGGTGGCAACCCTACTGAACAGAACAGGTATTTCCATCATTGTAGAACGTTCTAGTGGATGAACACTCATTCAATGGTCCCTGAGTGCTTACTGAGCGTATGAGTTTGAACATCTGGCTCTGCCTGCATCTGTCTGGTGTTGGGCAAGTCACTTTCTCTAAACCTGCTTCCTGATCTGCAAAAATGGGAATAAAGTCACCCTTCCACACGCACAAGGCTGAGTGAGAACCAAGCAAGATGAAAGATGTAAAAACATGCTGAATTTCAAAACTATATAACTCTAAAGATTTCCTGTTGACACTACCTTCTTAACTTTCTTGACTACATCTTTCTTAACTCTCACAATGCTGGTAGAAATGGAAATGGGTATCATCTTTTTGGGTCAACATGGCAATACCTATCAAAATTTTGTATGTTTAAACTTCTTAAGTAATTCCACTTCAAGGAATTTTCTCTACAATTATAATAACTGAGGTATACAAAGCTAAATTTATGGACTATTCATTTGTCAATGTTTGTAAAAGCAAAAACCTGGAAACAAACTAAATATTTATCATAAGTGTATTGGTCAATAAATTATGGCATATTATGTAACAAAAAAATGCAGTCATTTAAAAAAACTAGATAAATGTACAGATATTGACGTGAAGGATTGTTTGTAACGTTTTTACAAAAAGGCAAGGTACAAAACAGTATTACCATATGATTCCATTTGTATAAAAATGAATACCCAAAATATATGTTTTATACAGTATTCTGGAAATACATGCACTTTTTGTTAACAGTGACTAGCTCCTGGTAGAGACAGGAGAGAAAACACAGTAGGTGTGCACGTATTTATAGCTTTATTGAAGTTTAAATGACTTCAATTTGATGAGTTTTGACTGATGGGTACACCCATGAAACAATCACCACATTCAAGGTAGTGAACATATCCATGACCTGAAAAAGTATCCTCACGTCCCTTTGCAATCACTCTCCCTCCACCTACTCTGGCCCTAAGCAACCACTAATATGTTTTCTGTCACTGCAGATTATTTGCATTTTCTAAGTTTTATATAAGTGGAATCATACAGTATGAAATCGTTTTCATACTGACCTCTTTTACTCAGAAAAATTATTTTGAGATCTATCCACAGTTTTGCATGTATCAGTAATTATTTCTTTTTCCTTTCTGAATAGTATTCCACTGTATAGGTATACCACAACTTGTATCTACTCATCTGATGATGGACATTTGGGGTGTTTCCAGTTTTTGACTCTTACAAATGAAGCCATTATTAACATTTATGCACAGGTCTTTGTGTAGACGCATTGGGTAAATACCTTGAAGGGGAATGGCTGGGTCTATGGTAGGTGTATGTTTAGCTTTATAAGAAAATGCCAAATTGCATTCCAAAGTGGTTGTGCCATTCTAAATTCCCACCAGCACAGGAAAGTTCTGGTCGCTTCCCATTCTTGCCAACACTTGGTATGGTCAGCATTTATTTTTTACTTTATAACAATTCTTTATCTTTGATTTTATTTTTTATCCCAAGTATATTCTATCTTTATAATAAATTTATTTTAAAATATCTTACATCTACAAACAGTAATAAAGTTACAGCAGCTTTTGCTTCAAAGGTGCTGATCTATTTGACTTCCCTAGGGGTCAGTTTCTTTAAATGAAAGGGGGAAATAACGACAGTACCTGCCTCATAGGGCTGTAGTTAGGATTAAGTGAGATTACCCAGGTAGAGCGTCTGGCTTAGTGTCTGCCACATAGCAAACACTCAACAGTGTTAGCTGCTCTCATCACCATTATCACTGTTGTCATCATTATGATGATAATTGTTGTAACTCTTCCTACTCTTCCCTCCCTTTCCCGCTATGACTGCTGCTCTCTAATAGCTGCTTATTTCTATCTATGAGAGGTCATAGGATATGTCATTGATGCAGGACTACTCAGCAGAGTGGTCTCTATATTAGATTATAGCAAGGCTCTCTCTCTTTTTTAAAATTATATGTTTCAGGTATACAGCATTATAATTTGACATCTGTACATACTACACAGTGATCACCAACACAAGTCCAGTAACCAACCATTACTGTACAGCTGACTCCTTTCACCCATTTTGCCCACCCTTGAATCCTCTTCCTCTCTGGTAACCACTAGTTTGTTCTGTGCATCAATGAGTTTGTTTGTTTGTTTTCAGATTCCACATATGAGTGAAATCACGTTTGTCTTTCTCTGCCTGACTTACTTCATAATACCTTCAAGGTCCATCCATGTTGTCGCAAATGGCAGGATTTCATAGGAGGATGCCCTTTCTAAAGGAGTACTGAATCTTTGTAACTAACAAAGAATAAGGATCTAAACTTTTCCATAATTTCCCAAAATGCTGTCATATCTCACTTAGCCCCTAAAGTCAGAAATGTCTGAGCACAGCAGGCAAGGGAGAGGTTTCTAGGCTGCCACTGCCAAGGCAGAAGTGCAAGGTAAGCAAATCCAACCACTTCTTGGCAGAGAGGGCTGTTAAAAGAGAGGACAGAGGGCTTTCCTGGTGGTGCAGTGTTTAAGAATCCGCCTGCCAATGCAGGGGACACGGGTTCGAGCCCTGGTCCGGGAAGATCCCACATGCCATGGAGCAACTAAGCCCATGTTCCACAACTACTGAGCCTGCGCTCCAGAGCCCGTGAGCCACAACTACTGAGCCCGCGTGCCACAACTACTGAAACCCACACGCCTAGAGCCCGTGCTCTGCAACGAGAGAAGCCACCACAATGAGAAGCCTGTGCACCGTAACCAAGAGTAGCCCCCGCTCACAACTAGAGAAAGCCCACACGCAGCAAAGAAGACCCAACGCAGACAAAAATAAATAAATAAAATAAATTAAAAAAAAAAAAGAGGACAGAATGTGAACCATCTACAAAGCTCACCTTACTCGTTGGTGAAGAAGATAGAGAATGTTCCGAAGACTCCCCAGTGTTCTGTTTTCTGGGTTCAGTCTGTGATGTCCAAACTGGGGAAGAAGAAAAAAAGATAAATAATTACTGCTTGCTACCGCTTTCTTTATCTCAATTTCAGCTTTCTTTATCTCAGTTTCCGCTTGCAGAGGAAATTACGTTGGAGTAACATGTTACAGCGTATGGTAATAAAAATATCCATCAGTATTTAGATTTAATTAATCCTCTTATTTCAATGAAATAAGTGAAAATAAGAAATAGTTTTTCAATGAAGCAAGCATGAGAATTTTCATTTTACAGAGAGTCATGGGGAAAATTCTACCTCAAAAGAAAAAGCCATGCCCACGATGAAGATTTAGATATCGATGGTATGGCTTCCAATCCTTTAAGGAGTTATGATAAACACTAATTAATTAGAATCTCTGCAATTTGAGCTCTTCACATTATATATTTCTATTATAAAAGTGTCAAAATACATTTATTTGACTGCTACTGAATTTCTTTATATTAAGTACCAATTTTAAAATAGTACATTAGTAAAAATACTTTTAACAGAAGGGAATAATCTTTTTGAACTGAAATACTTTCACTTCCACCTTCATTTTACCCATCAGTAAGTCCTTTGAATTTTTTCTCCCAAACAGACCTTGAATCTCTCCTCCCCACTGCTACCACCATAGTCCAGGCCACACTCACATCTTACCTGTATGACCGAAATAGCCTCCTAACCTGACAACGTCCTTTTCTCTTAGCCTTCTGACCGATTCACCACTGAACAGTCACAGTAATCTTCTCGAATTGTAAATCAGATCACATTACTCTCCAGTCTAAAGCCTTGCAAAGGTTTCCCACTGCAGAGAGAATAAAATCTCGTCCTTACCTATAGGCTCCCTGCTCCTTCTCTAACCTCCTCCTGAGCCACCTCCAGCCACAATGGCCTCCTTTCAGTTCCTAGGATTCACCAAGCTCTCGGTACATCATGTTCCCTCTACCTGGAATGCTCTTTCTTCTGCTCTTTGCACAGCTGGATCCTTACCTTCCTTTAAGTCTTAATTTACATATGGCTCCTCAGAGGAGCCCATCTCCAATCATGCCACCTGAGAAGACCCCCACCATGCCCCTCTCCACTAAATCATAGAATGCTGTTCACTTCCTTTATAGCTCTTTCCTCAATCTGCAAAATATCAAATAATGGAAAAAATGCATGAGGACTGCTCCAAACTACTTTATTGCTTTATTAAATAACATTGCTTCAAACAGGGAAACCAAGTATTTTAGAATACTGTTTGACTAAATGCAGGGAGAACCCTGGCACTCACCCTCAGAATTGACTGTACTGTCTGTAGAGGATAGGTGACCGTGGTGGCAATTGCTTTGGCTATTGCACCAATGATGAACACGTCCAAAGAAGAAAGCTGGAAAGCAAAGGAAGAACAAACTGCATCAATCTAAACAGCAAGAAGTTGTCAGGGATTGTCTGCTGCTTTCAGAATAAGGGCTTACCTTCATTCGTTTCTTTAAAAGCTGCCGTTTTAAACCTTCATAGAACATGAATTGGATGGCAGGATTGAAGACCAACAGCAAGGAGGGAAATGTGCCATTCCATAAAGCCAGGATTCCTTCATCGCGAATGATCTGGTGAAAAGCATCTGAGCAAGAAATCAAGGACCTTTGATGACAATCCCCTAACTAGAGAAGACAATGTACCCAGAACACAAACCTGATTCTATCAGTATTCTATCATACTGATTCTATCAAGATTTCCTTCTCACAATGACAAGTTAATCAGTTAACTACTTGTGAATAATCATCAGATACTGACCATCACCAAGTTATTGAGAGACCAATTTCACTCATAGGCAACCCTTCCTAACAAATCTAGGGTTGGCATGTCAAGTTTTCCTAAGTAATCATCACCACCACTGGAAGCTCTGTACTACACAGAATTGTGAACTGATAGCCCATGTGTTTCACAACAAAGGTCAGTACAGAAAAAGATTAGAGGTGACTTCCCTGGTGGCGCAGTGATTAGGAATCTGCCTGCCAACGCAGGGGACATGGATTCGAGCCCTAGTCCAGGAGGATCCCACATGCTGCGGCACAACTAGGCCCATGCACCACAGCTACTGAGCCCGCGTGCCACAGCTCTTGAAGCCCACGTGCCTGGAGCCCTGCTCCGCAACAAGAGAAGCCACCACAACGAGAAGCCTGCGCACCACAATGAGTAGCCCCCACTTGCTACAACTAGAGAAAGTCTGTGCGCAGCAATGAAGACCCAATGCAGCCAAAATAAATAAATTTATTAAAAAAAGAATATTAGATAGTTCTCTGGAGTCCATTTTATAGGACTGCCTTATAAGAAAACCCCTGTTCTCATTACAAAGATGGAAGCATGGGAAAGGAGAACCTGGCAATGTAATACTATTAAAAAGCAGAAGCTCAAGGATATCAGATGCTAATCTGGTATCCATATCTAAAGAAAACACTAAGGAAAAAAAAGTAGCAGATTGCTCTTCAGAAATATTCATTCCCCTCCCACCTGTGCTCCATGGGATATACTCCATGGGTATATTTCTCTACCCCTTATCTTGGGGCTTGGCCATTGGTTGTGCTTTGGCCAAGAGGATGTTAGCAGACAAAATGCAAACAGGGGCTTGAAATATGCTTGTATGATTGAGCATGTCCTCTTGTGCTTTTGCCATCACCAAGAGAAGAATATGCTCAGGTTGGTCCCAGGAAAAGGAAGAGAGACACATGGAGCTAAGACTTGTAGGCTGGCGTCAGCCTAGATGAGTCAAATCCCTGTCAATCCAGAGACACATGAGCTAAACAAATACTTACTGTTGGGCACTGAGATTTGAGGTTGTAGCATTATCACGGTGATAAATTCCAGATATAAAGAGAAAAGAAAATCTTTAAAAAGGAACTCACCCAAGAGACACTCACCGATAATACCATTGTAGTTGGTTGGTACAATGTCTTCATTCCTAAATTTTGCCCCTTGCAGCTTCAGTCTGGTGTTTACTACCCAGAGTGGAGTTGTTAGCAGCACATTCACCACTCCTTTAAAAAGAAAGGGGGAGAGACAAAGGGAAAGCAAAATGTAACCTTTTAAGCTCTGCTGTCTTATGTTAAAGCTACACACCAATGTTTCAGTTATACCTCTGCCACTGACCCACTAGGAGACCTAAGGTAAGGTGTCCCTTTGTGCCGGGGTACAACACAAGCCACTGCTGTTAGAAGCAGTTCAGAAGCCTTGCTGAGAGCAGGACGGCTGGCAGCATGAAGAGAGTACGGAGTTTCCTCATTTGTATAATAGGAGGCAATCTGTTTGTCAATTTATATAACCATCAAAGTAGCAATTTTGATATAGTTTTAAGTACAGTTTTTAAAAACAGCTTTAAGACAGGGAAGTGACTTGTTGATCACATGCTAAGTAAGTCCATGACAATATCACATAAAACACACAATTTACAACTCCCATGTAAGTAGCTCACATGCTTTTAAGTGAGTATGGATCTAGTACAATAAATGAGAGAAAGTGTGACATTTGAAAGTGCTTCAACAGGGACTGGAGGCTCACAGAAGACTTCTTCATCACTTGGGGAATTAGGATAGGCAGGCAGCAAGCAGCAGTTATGAACCATTACAAAAACACCTGCAAAAGTTTTACAAGCATCATAATCCTTACAAGTTTAAGGATGGGGATCTTGGCTGCCCAAGGTGGCCTCAGAGTGGAACAATACAATGAGCCAGGTGCTTCTTTTTTGAAAACACATGATCCCAATTTAATACCACCTTGAGTTATTAAAATATTCCTCATCAGTCCTGAAATGATTAGAGAAAAATACCAGACAGACTTGTAACAAAGTGCCTGACACACAGTATATACTTTATAAATGTTTGTTAAATAAATACTTAACAAGTAAACTAATGAGCAAACTCAGCAAACAATGGTATATCAAGCTATCTGGCTCTAGCCGTACTCTGAAGAACCCAGAGGCACAATTATAAGGAAGAGAAATCTTCTTTTACTAAAAGCCATTTAAATACAACAGGATTAAGAATGTTTTGATTTAAGGAATCTCACAACATACTATATATAGAAAACACCAAGGCTAAGCTTGGTAAAAACACCAGGAAATTCAAATTCTAAATTTTCATTAGCTGAATGCAGTTGCAAAAGTAAGATATTTTGGCACCTCTCTCTTAGAAACATTGTGAGAACACATTTCTCAAAATAAAAGGCATTATCAAATAATTTTATGAGTTGTATTTGTTATATTTTTCCACATAACACAAAGGAGTCATCTTTAGTTACGGCTCAATATATTCATACATTGTCACTTGAGGCATTGATCATAATCTGAAAAAGTCTTAACTAGAGATTCTTGCTAGTCTCATTTTACAAAAGCACAAGTGCCCAAGAGGCCAAGACAGAAGATTATCAATACAAGCCCATTTGCCCAGACTTTATAATGTATTCCTCTTCATTATAATGTACACATCACTTAACAAAAAACAATCAACAGCCCGAAAAATCAGACTAGAAAGTGCTACTGAGCAGTCTACTGCTTTTTTTTTTTTTTAAGATGACGACAGGAGAGCTCAGAACCAGAGATCACAAGCTTCTGTGGATACTGTAGACAGGCACAGTGTACATACCTTTCTAAACAAATGAAATAGGTTGCCCATTAAATAAATTCTTTGGAAATCAAAATTCCCTTCATGTTCTATTCAAGAGGTAGGCACACACAAAACATTTCAGAGGCAATGCAGCAAAGATTAAGATTTAGCCACTATTTAAAATTCTGCTTACATATCCCCATTACTAACACAGGCTGAAAGATGGAGAGGAGTCTAAGGACATGGTCAAGTACAAAAATGCATCACATCATTTAAAGAAGAGAATATAAAGTCCTTGTAAGAACATTTTGTATTTCAAAGCTTTTTATCTGAGAAGTTCTTTAATGCTCTAAGCCAAAATAGATGGAGAGGTATTTTTTAACCACTATCATTTTATGAGTTCTGGGAAAATACCTGAGGATCCAAACTTTACTAAAAACTTGCAACCTATATAATCAAGCAAAGGACAACATTCCACGGAGGAAAAACAAGCTGCAAACGAACGTGATGAGTGATTCCGACTCTGACTAAAGCACGATGGATATGGCTGCAGGATACAGAAAGTTGTCTGCTTATTTATGTGTAGAAAATTCCTCTGCCAGTTCCAAGCCATGGCTGTTCCTTCAGCTCTAAGATGGGAATATTAATACCATACCTACTTAAGAACAGGAAATTGTTTTTCTTCCAATTCAAATGATTCTATTTTCTTTCATCATAAAAAATCATTTATAAGAAAACAGAACCAAAATTAAAAGATGAAGAACAGTAACTGAACACACTCACTAAAATCACTCACTGATTCAAGGATAAGTGAAACACAGCTGTTTACTTCTGAAATATTAAAAACAAAGTTTTATTAGTAGTGAGCCTCCTGAGTTAAGGACAGAAAACAAAAATGGAGAATGCTAATTGGGTGCACTTCTCGGGAACACGTGCAATGACCACTGAGATAAGAAAATGGCAGATCAGGGTCATAAATCTAAGGGCTTGGCTCCTTATAAAGGAATGCAACTTGATACACACAGGAACAAAGCTGCCTTACCAGATTTAAGGCCTAAGGACAGGATATTAATTTCAACTGTCACAACAATGATAACACCGTTGGCATTCAAAAAGAGTCATTGATAAAAATTCCAATTTCATAAAAATGGCAAGTATCATCTTCATTTAAGTTACCTGTAAGGTTCTGCTCTCAAATTCTTCCCCAGGGTATTAAGCTATTTGGGCTTTCTTCTGTGAAAATAAAATAAATAGTAATAACTCTCTAAGTTCCCAGAAGTGGAGTAACAGTAATACTGCTCCTAGTTCTCCCTGGCGACAATGAAACTCATTCCTACAGTGACTGGAACACAATGGCAGGGTTCACAGCAGGAAGAGAAAAAGCTGTTTTAATTATTGTAAAAATGTGGTAAGCATTAAGATATAAAAACATGTTATGAGGAGTTTAAAACTCGCAAAAGTGATTTCCAAGGAACTCCCTACCTTCAGAAAAAGAGAGGACCTATAATCGGAGAATCACAGAATTATAAAAGACTATAAAATTCACTTGATCAAGGGTCTCTCAACTGTGACACTACTGACATTTGGGGCTGGATACTTATTAGTTTGGGGCAGGGCAGGGGTGCAATTGTGTAGGATGTTTAGCAGTATCCCTGGCCTTCTACCACTAGATGCCAGTAGCATTCTCCAGTTGTGACAACCAAAAATGTTCCCAGACATGGTCATATGTTCCCTGTGGATCCACTGATCTAATCCAATCACCAAGTGATTATTCACTTTATTTTTGAAAATCTCAAAAGATAGGAATTCATTCTCACCCCAATAGCCTATTTTTTACAAGAGCTGTTAGAAATTTTATTTTTACTGATACTAAATCTACCTTCTTAAAGCAACTAGAAACATATAAAACTAGCTAATAGGTGTTTTTTTAATCTGAGGTATGAATTAGCAATTCTTAAATAACTTTATGTGTATCTTAGGATAAATAAATGATTATGACCTGCAAGTCAGTCATCCATGGTCTGCTCATCAAATACGTATTGTGTGTCTAGTATGTGCTAAGTAGGTGCTGATGATACAGAAGTAAATAAAAAATGAAAATCCCTGTCCTTTTGAAGCTTATGTTCTAATGGTGTAAGACAGGATAAATGAGTAAAATATGTAGTATGTTAGAGGATAAGGTTAAGGAGAAAATTTAAGCAGAGAAGGGGGATAAAGTTTTGCGGGGTAGAAGGGGGCACCATTTTCAACAGTGTGGCCATTTAGGGAAAGACCTTAAAGGAGGTGAGGGAGTGAACCATGCAGTAACCAGGCAAAGGAAACAGCAGGTACACAGGCCCTGAGGCAGAAGCATGCCAGGAGTGTTGCTGGAGAAGAGGTCAGTGAGGCTTGCAGTGGGGTGAGTGAAGAGGACTGGCGGGCCAGGTGACACAGGGCTTTGTAGGACAAGGTAAGGACTCTGGCTTTTACTCTGAATGAGAAGGGAAGCAATTGGAGTCCTTTGAACAGAGAAATAATACAATCTCACTTACGTTTTTTTAATTAATTAATTTATTTTTGGCTGCGTTGGGTCTTCATTGCGGCATGCAGGCTTTTTCTAGTTGCGGTGAGCGGGAACTACTCTTTGTTGCAGTGCGCAGGCTTCTCACTGCAGTGGCTTCTCTTTTTGCGGAGCATGGGCTCTAGGTGCATGGGCTTCAGTAGTTGTGGCACGCGGGCTCAGTAGTTGTGGCTTGCAGGCTCTAGGGCGCAGGCTCAGTAGTTGTGGCGCACGGGCTTAGTTGCTCCGCGGCATGTGGGATCTTCCCGGACCAGGGCTCGAACCCGTATCCCCTGCATTGGCAGGCGGATTCTTAACTACTGCGCCACCAGGGGAGCCCTCACTTATGTTTTAACATGATCACACTGGCTGCTGTGTTGAATACGTATTGAAGGGGACAAAAGAGGAAGCAGGACATCAGTTGGGAGGCTCTGAAGATAATCCTGGCAAGATTTAGTGTTGGCTTGGACACAGGTGGTAGTGGGGGAAGGGGCTGAATTCTAGAAACCATATGATGAAACAGGCAATAGGATTTGCTCACAGACTGGAGGTGGGGTCAAAGAGAAACAAGATGAATTCAAGACTTTTGGTAGGGCAACTAGTAAAATGATGAAGATTACAGGAGGGGTGGTCCTTTAAATTGAATTCATTCATTCAACATTTAATCAGCACCTTCTGTGTATCAGGCACTGGGGATACAGAGATTTTAAAAAATGTAGTCTCTGCCCTTAAGGAGTTCACTGTCTACTAAAAGATAAAGACAAATATGCAGACTATTGTTATCCAGCAGAGTAAGCACTGAGACAGAGGTATATACAGAGCTGGAGCACAGAGGATAGGCACCTAACCCAGAATACAACTTGGGGGTGGTGGACATGAGAAACAGGGAAGGCTTCCT